TGACCTCTTGATCTTTCTCCCAAATCCTCTCCATTCTCACTTGCCACATCTCTGCTTTCCCCATGAATGTGCCCAGGACTTAACCTGGAAGTCACCCTTGACCTTTACCCTATAGCCTATCCCATTCATTACTAACCCCCTTTGAGTTTCTTTCCAAAATACATTTAGATTTATCTAAATATCTGAGACCATAATTGTACTCGTTAGCTGTTGTCTTTGACAAACCAACAGCCAAATTAAAAGATAAATAAGTAAAAATAAAACCTCAGCAATTCCTGAGGTTTTTCAATGTCTAACCTTTTAAGCACTGAATTTAAGGTCAAATTTTAAATCTTTACCAATGTTTTCAATGTGCTACAATATCCAGACACTGTCTTATTACGACTCTGGCATTGTCTACCCTTCCCTCCTCCTGTGACTTCTGTGTCCCGCCACATTAGCATTGTTCCTATATTCCTGCTCTTCAAATTCATTCTGACCTCAGGATCTTTACATGGGATCCCCCTCTGCACCTATTGCTCTTTTCCTGGTTTTGAAGCATGTTTCCAATTTCAGCTTAAATTATGCTTTTTCAGAAAGGCATTTTTCAACTTGAAGATTTTAAATGAAGCCTCCCCTTGTTTCCACCCTGACCATCTGATGTTTTCCATTTTCCAATGTGTATAAAAATGTTCTTCAAATATTTATGTGTGTACCTATGTGTTTGAAATCACTTCTCTACATCTCATGTTCCACAAACAAAAGGAACATGTCTGTTTTGCCCCAAGTGCATTGCACAGGCTTGAATACATAGTGAGTGTGGATCCTGTAATTAGTTTGTGAGTAAGCCTATAAATCACTTAACACATAAATTAAAGAACACATTTTAAAAGAGGTAAAGTTGTGGTGGAATTTTCAAACTATAGAGAAAAGAATGAGCACAATCAGAAAATTAGGCAATGCTTACAAAAACAACATTGAAGTAGAATTTAAAAATGCTAGTTTGCTCTTTCATCTAATTAGCTCTAAGATTTTGAAAGAATTATTTAATTTCTGTAAAACTCAATTTTCTCATCTGTAAAGCAGGGAGAGTAATGTCAGTGAGGTGACAGACAAATGAGATAATATATGTAGACACACTTTGTAAACTATAACACAGTATGAAATATTTGTTGTTGAGGCAGCTATATCCAAGAATAAATCAATTGAAGTTTAAGGAACATACACCAATTGTTGACTTCTATGCTCATATTCTTGAAATTGCCAGTGAAAGAAATTGGTATACAAAGGTAGGCTTGAAGTATTTCTGTGTACTCTTTTTCACTTATTCATGTAATAATTCAATAAATATTCACTGGATTCACCCTATGCACCAGTTTCTCTGTCTTATATCTTCAGTGCTTTACACATATATAAACACACACACACACACACATTGTAACTGGTAATCTAAAAGAGTAAATCTAGAGTATAGGAATGTGAACAGGAGAGGAAAGTAACCCTGCAAAGGTCAGGAAACCCTTCACAGATGAGATTTTAGGAATTAAAAAAAATGGAAATAATTGCAGTTTTACCATTTAACTCAGGTAGTTTGTTTAGCTCAATTCCTTGTTTGGGTTAAAAATGGAGGTCAATAAACTCTATCTCCAGTATTTTTATGAAGAATAATTTAGATATATGCAGAAAATTAAGTATATAATCACTTGATAAATGTCTCCCTTTTTAAAAAATTTTTGTTCCAATCTCTCCATAAGATATGAAACTAATCAAGAACATTTATTACTGGCAAACTGATATTTAATCTTTGTCTGAGGAAAGAAGAAATACAGTGGCCCAGGAGTTGTTTCTTTTCAACAAACTTTATTATCTCCTGTCCTTATGATAAAAAGAAAAAAAAAAATTCCAAAAGTTGCCTCTGTCATAAGCTCCTGTTCACATACAATTTTTGGATCCTCACTAGTAATTTTTCAGAACTAGCTTTTCATATCTATCACTGAAAATATATATACAAAGGAAAAGAACAGAACAGCAGCATTAAAAGACTTTCTAAGCAAAATATGGAGTTACTTTTGGGCAAAGAGGAGCAGTGAATCATAACCTTAAGACTTGTGTCAAGTTTCTGGGAAACAGAAACTGCCATTGTTCCCTTTTGGAAAGCCTTGTCCTCTAAACAATTTTGAAACTCCTTAATCTCTCAAATTCATCTGTGTATTTTCAGGCAGTGCTCAAGGAGAGCTGCTCAATGTCATGCAGAAACATTACTCAGACTTTCAAAGATAGAGTTTGCAGGTGACTTGAGAGCAGTAAAGCAAAGTTTTTGAGATCATGGGTTCCAGTTGCCTTGTGTAGGTGAAGATTTGTAGACTGAATTAGTTTCACATTGTCAGTAACAACTGGCCACTCACCTAGTGACTTAAAATAACACAATTGAAAAAATATTCTAAATGAAAATTAAATTCATTTCACACTTATTTTCATTCTCTTAAAAATATTTTTATTCTGAAGTAACATTGCATTGTGACATTGTATAGGTTTCAGGTGTGCATTATTGTAAATCTATGTCTAGATGTAATATATTAACTACTAAAAGCCCAGTTCTATCTTTTACGATATGGTTGGCCCTTTTTCCCCTTTTCCATCTGATAACCATTCATTTGGTCTTATAATCTAAAATTTTACTTTTTTTTTTTATTTAGCTCATTTGTTTGATTTGTTTCTCTATATACCACATATAGTGAAATAATCTGATGTTTATATTTCTCTCCTGACTTTTTCATTAAGAATAATAACTTTGGGCTCTCCCTGGTGGCGCAGCGGGCTAAAGCACTGCACTAAGAAGCTTAAGCCACTTCCGCATGAGTTCGATCCCCGCCTACCCTGGAGGTGACCACATGGCGAGGCAGACCTCTCCTGACCCGCCCACTGCTCCCCTCAGCGGTGTACTTCGTTGATCTGCCTGTTCTGCTCCCCACTCTGTCTCTGGTGAATCCTCTCACCCTCCACATCTCTGGCCTGTACCCCAGTTCTGTACAAATAAATAAATAAATCTTTAAAAAAAAGGAAGAAAAGAATAATAACTTCTAGGTCCATCTCTAAAATTCTGTCTGGAAAATTTTATCTTTTTATGGCTGAGTAGTATTCTATCATATATACATATCACCACGTCTTTATCCAGTCATCTGTGCATGATCACTTGCATTGTTTGCTCTTGTTTATTATAAACAATGGTGTAATGAACATTGGGGTACATGTATTTCTTTGAATTAGTGTTATCATATTTTTAGGGAAAATACCCAGAAGTCAACCCACATTTTTTACTTTATAGTACAGGAAGCGAAAGTCTAAAATAAGTCTTCACTACTATTTTCCCTTCTGAAAGATCTATTTCTTTTACTTTTCCATCTTCTAGAGAATGCTTTTATTCCTTGGCTCATAACCCCTTCCTCCATCTTCTAAAGTAAGAGTTAGCTTCTTGCTTCCCTGCTGACTTCCTGCTATACTACTTCAGGACTTTTACTGTTACATGAGTCAACTAAGATAATCCAAGATTATCTCTACCTCTTGAGATAGATTACACTTGCAATATTTTTTTTTTTTGCCATATAAACCTTTTGGCAATATATGTTCCTTTATGTTTCATAAGTTTGGGGAATTAGAGCATAGACATTTAGAAGGTTATTACTCAGCACACAAGAGAGAGTAAACTACTGTAATTCTAGCAACGTGTAATTCTGTTGCTAGAATTACAGTAGTTCCTGCTACTTACGTTTGTTAGAATTAAACAGAAGTCCACACATTGTCATTTAACTGTCTACTGAAAACACATTAAATGATCTAGGAATTTTAGGTGCATTAAAGAGAAAAGATCTGAGCCATGCTTTTGGTGGAGATAAGATTAATGTGTAATCACAAAGACACATGTATGTTTAAACACTGTAATAAGTGCTAGGAAGTCAAGGAGGTCTGGACTATACTAAAGGGATCAGAAAAAGGTCTCACAGAGCAAGTAGCCTTTAGCTGAGGTTTTATACATGACTAGGAGCTACCTAGATAAAGTAAAAAATAGAGAACATTTCCTAGAGGTGAACAATAATTCAAAAACTCACAGCAGAAATGAGCATGGTGCATTCAAAGAAGTGGAAGGAATGAAGGCAGAGGCAAGGGTAACTAATTGTGATGCTGCAAAAGTAGCCTAGGACAAAGCCATGTTCAAAAACTATGTTAAGATTTTTGAGATATTCCTGAGTAGTAGCAAAATGATTTGGTAAAATTGTTTACCTGTTTTTTTTTTTTTTATTTGATTCTCTGAGTGCTGGGTATAAAGCACAAGAGTGGGAGCAAGTAAAGAAAGGTCTCAGTCCAGGAAGAAGAATATGAGATGTTGTAGAAGGGGCTTCCACGGATGCAAACTCCAGCATGGCTGTGGGTTTGTTATGGAGAGTCCTGCAATGGGTGCAGATGGGAAAGAAGCAGAAATGGACAAAGGTCTCAGCCGACTCAAGAGTGTTCTGAAGTGTTCATGACTCTCAGAGTTAGGGAAAACATTCTCACCCTAAGTAGAGGGTACCCCTTCTTGATGCTGGAGTGTCAGAAATACAGTCGTGTCAGGAAAGGGATATGACTTTCTTCCCTGGCAACGATCAATAAAAGAGACTGAATGCTGAGCATCTGGGGGTATCTGACAAAGCTCTGGACTTAGGTATCACGATACCATACCCACCATGCAGAGATTTGCCTGAAGAATGGAATTTAAACAGTGACAGTGAAAATACAGAGAAAGTAGATAGGTTACAAAAATATTTCAAAGATAGCATTGACAGACGTTGGTGATAACATGCATGTATTTTACACATATACCTACTATACATATATATGAAAAGAGAAGGTATCAAACATTATAGCTGTATTCCTGACTTTTCAAATTGTAACATATTTGTATATATTTGTATTGATTTACAAATTATTAAATTACTATTATTATTAGATTTCATTCCATGATGACAAATTGACATTCATGTACAATCAAAAGCCACCGTTTCAGGCTGTGCCATGTAAGCATTCCATAGATAAACTCCCATTACTCCATTAGTCTCTCTCCAAATTAGCATCGTCCTTAATTGTTAAATGTTTTCAACAACTCTGGAGTCGCCCTGGGTAGGGCTGTCTAATCGCCCTGATGCGAGTGGCCAAGTGTTTGGATTGCACTTGAATATGTCTCTGGGAATTAAAACTTTCCTGTGGTTAGCAGAAACTTTTGTCTGGGTTGTTTGGAAAGTTTATAGTCTAAGCCACCTTGTTTGTGACCTGTCTTTGCACTTTTCTGCTTTCAGCATTTTTTTTTTTTTTTTTAAGAAAGCGGCCAGGTCTGTGTAATCCAATTTCCACAGATGGAGAGGTAAAAGTAATCCCCATAGCCTATCCCATCACTGACCACAGCTTGTAGTAACATTTTCACCAGAACAGGATATTGGCAGCTCAACTGTTAAACCCGTGTGATTATTCTTCCTTGAGATCACTCTGATGTCATCAGTGTAATTTGAGCCTGTTCACACTTTAAATAGCAGTCCCGGAATGAGTTTGCTACAGACTCTCTGGAGAGCCCGGGAGCTGGATTCCTGAAGATCCCACATCGATGAAAGCAAAGCGAAGCCAGCAAGCCATCATGTCCACATCCCTGCGGGTGAGCCCGTCCATCCACGGCTATCACTTCGACACAGCCTCTCGGAAGAAAGCTGTGGGCAACATCTTTGAAAACATAGACCAAGAATCACTACAGAGGCTCTTCAAAAACTCTGGAGACAAGAAAGCAGAGGAGAGAGCTAAGATCATTTTTGCCATAGATCAAGATTTGGAGGAGAAAACACGAGCCCTGATGGCCCTGAAGAAGAGGACGAAAGACAAACTCTTCCAGTTTCTGAAACTGCGGAAATATTCCATCAAAGTGCACTGAGAAGAACAGGATGGATAAGGATGTTATCCAACAACAGACATTTAAAGACCAAGTGAGTTTGTGAAACCTTAACGCATGCAGCCTGTTGTGGCTGCCTTACAAGCTTCTGTTCCAGGGACTCAGGACTCCAGAGGCTGGAAAGGAACAGAACAGACTGGTTACAGAGACTCCAACCAATTTCACGCCTGTGCTGTTACAGTGGAGAACAAAGTGCTTTCAGTAAGGATTTGAAAACTGTCCCTGCAGGGAAGGACTAATGCTGGTGTCAGAGGAGTCTGGACAGACTAATGAGAACTGAAATTGAAGATTACAGATGGCTGGGGAAAACTGCAGCCAGGTTCCCTTTATCAGGCCCCAAGGACTGAAATGCAACCTGAACTTTTTTTTACTTAACCAACTGGGTAGGAGGAGGGAAGAGGGAGAGGGAAGAGGAGACAGAATACCGTGCTCAAATTGTTTACTTAATTTTTTATTTGAATGTTCAAGAGGTTACCAAGTTTCAATGTTGTCTATTGGTAGAGAGTTTTAGAGACCATTCATTGATTATTTATTTGAATTTATTACAGTGCCTGAAAAAGTGCACCATATGGGTGTAAGTACAAATTCAAGGAAATGCAGTTACTTCAGCAGCTCAGTAAAATTGTATACCACCTTCTGGCTTGTAAAGGGTTTTTTATATATTTCAAACTGGTTGCACATAAGTTAAAATAATGGGGTCCTACATAAATCTGAAGTACTGTGAAAAAAATCTTCTAATTTTTTAATCTTCTAACAATGCTGAGATATAATTAATTAAATCTCTTAATTAATGCAGTAAACATTAGGAAGTGAATACTATGCACTAAATAGTTTATAAAGATGCTATGTTGTTTTTTTTAATAATTTATTCTACAAGACAAATGACATGCAGCCATAATAAATTATTATAAGCATAGTTTCTCTTGGTCTGTGATGATTGGTCTGAAAGGAAAAATAAAATAGTACATTTTCATTACCATAATTTTGATGAAGTTTTACAAACTATTAAAAACGTTTCTAAGGTGTTTAAAAATGAAAGTTGCTCAAAACAAACTCTCACAGGAAATAGCTAAGAAGTTCATCTGTCCTGACATTAAATGTAAGAAATAGACCTAGAAATTCAGAGATTGACTCAACAACATAGTTTAAATAGCCATTGAGAATGAGTCTTAAAAACTTTCTTTGCCATACTTTTCATAATTTTTCCTGAATTAAGATTCTGTGCTTTATCAGTGTTTATTTAATACAAATCCATATGAGAATAACACTTGTCTTTTTGTTTATTTCTTCATAAAATCATAATAAAATATTTCTAAGAAGGCATACATTGATGCCTAATGCACTTTCCAAATAGAAAGAGATTTTAAACAATCCCCAGAAATTAAGCATTTCAGAAATATCTGCAGAGGTTTTTGAAATGGCTGATCATAGTAAAACCAAACAAGGGAATGAATTGAACTCTTTTGGATGAGTTACAAGTTAAAATCGAGTAGTAAAATCTATTTTCAAATGTTAATTGTTTAATTTACTAAAGAATATAAACACTCCATTTATCAGGAACTCTTAAGGTCATCCTTAAAAAGCACAAATTCATATGTAGAATTGTGTGTGTGTGTGTGTGTATTTTATTCTGGGATGATTATTTATAATTTTCATCAGATTTGCAAACATCCAAAGTAACCTAAGGATAGAAGAGGAAGAGTTTTGACAGGAAGAAGGCTCAGCTGGCAATCATATTCGGGATGGTCAAAGAGAATTTGCATAGAGTTGCTCTTTGACTCTCTTTCCCACTTTACATCCTTGTAAACTGAGCTTGCTTACTGACCTCACCTAAAGTCTTCTTTGCTTATGCCAGGGATAAGCTTCCTAACTCTGATAGGACACATTTTCACTGTCTACACAGACTCCTCAAAAGACATCATCAATCTATTTGAAGAAAACAGTAAGTTACTTTTGCAGAAGGCAAATTAGTCTGCATGTTCCCAATTAAACTTACTTTTCATTCAAATAAGGGAAAGGTGAGTGAACCAGGACAACAAACCTGGCAGCACCTGAACAGGGACCTGAACTCTAGACCCTCAGGTTAAGAGCCTCGTGCTCTACCAATGGAGTTACCCAGGCTCTATTCCTTCAAAGACTTTAGCTTAGCTTAGATGTTGAACATTGAAGTTCAAACATTAAATTTCATGTACAGATTTATTAACTATATACTCTGTCTCTGTTTTCAACAGAGCACATGCAGATCTTACCCACTTTTCACATTTTCTTGCACTAAGTTAGTTTTCTTGCTGTGTATTATTATTTTCCGATTGAAAAAAACTATACAGGGAAAACTAAAAGGTAATTGTGATATAATCTACAACAAAGTGAAAGAATAAAAACTCTTCCCCGAGATGACTATATAAGTATGCTGTCTTATCCCTTCATGCTGTGTTAAAATTGGAATCAGCGTCATTGTATAGGAGAGTTTTTACCTCCACATACTTTTACTATCTAATGTGAGGTAAAGATAAACATCGTTGGAACAAGTCAGATTAGTTCAATTCAGAAATCTTTCTATGGTACAAGGGATGAACAGGTATATCCCAAGACATCTCATTAGAATAGAATAAACAATAGCAGTGGGGTGAGATAGATCATTAATAATATTTGTAACATTAAACGATCATAATAATAACTAGTTTTCAGTGAATATCGACTACTACTTGCCAGACAATTCTCTATGTGGTTTTGTGTGTTAAGTCAGTCAGTTACTCTATGTGGTCAGTTAATGCTGTAATATAAGAATGTGTATACCTATATACATGTTTGGGAGGGAGAGGAGAGAGAAAGAGATGAGCCTGAAGGATTAAAATGAAGTAATTGCCAAAAGACACATAGCAAATGAGGAAACAAATCCAGGAAGGCTTGTTCCAAAGGTTTTATTCCTAGCTACTAGGCTAGACTGCTTCCCTGAGAGAAACTGAACTTCACTTTTTCCTTTAAGTTGGCATTTACCTATATGTTAATAAGTCAGAAAGACAGGAAGATTGCGTCTGTTTATTTGGCATTTTCTCTCTGTGGAGAAAACTTCTTAAAATTTTTTAATTATATATGGCCTTTCAAGCCTGCCGTTAAAATAGCACCTAGGTTCACACGGTGGAACACTGTAGAACAAAAGACCACACCTAAAGTCTTTTCCCATAGTCAGTCAACCCTTTAGGTGTCAGTTTGCTCATTGGGGGAAATCAGATGCTATGGAGACATTGTTTTGTTCACATGGTATATAGCTCCTCAGCTCACAGCCGGACTCACAGCAAAGAAGGCTTTGCATTCATAGATGCCTAACCTGTGGGCTTTACGGAGAGAGAGGTGGGGATAGATGACTGCCTGTGTTCCCATTGTTAAGGGTTTTTCCCTGAAAAACCTTAAAAATAAACAGGCGATTAAGCCATGGTTTGGGAATTCCATGTCTTTCAGAGCACCTCATCTATCCTTCTGTGCTCCACAGAAATCCCTCTCTACCCAAAGAAACCTTGTTTTTACATAAATGATTTATGTTCAAACTACAACTAGAACAAGTCAATAAAAGGCCAAATATTGTCCAGTCAATGTGAAATAAGTCATATTCAATATTTACAATTTGAATCTTTACAATATGTATAAATGTTATGTGACAAAATATCACAAATTAGATATAATTTTGTAGAATTTTCCTGATTTATCCTAATTTGCATCCTTTTATTACATGGATTTTTTGATTATTTAACATTTTAATAATTTCCTCATTTTATGCATTCTATTTCTGGATAGCAACATGTTCAATTGTCTTGGTATTACCATATGACAAGGTACCTATATTATTTTGGTCTGCATTCTATCTACACATTCTAAATAAGGGTAAATATGATGCAATTAGAGATAAGAATAAATGGCATTACAGGAAAACATAAAAATAGCAAATATAAAACTAATCAGTAAATAAACAAACCTCACATAAGATTTTCCCAAATGGTGTATTACTTGGTAAACTTCCTTACACATCAGGAATTGTAGCATGAGATCAAGGTTTGTACATGACTCATCGCTGTAAAAAAATTTAGTAAGAACTCATATGTGTGGGCCATCAGAATGGAAACCTGTTCTCTTTGTCAGAGAAAATGTTTTAAAATGAATATATTATTCAGTATGGCCAGGGGCCTAAACAATTAAGAGCAGTAATTAGATTTTATTATTATTACTAATTATGATAGGTGTTATTAAGATTATTTATATCCTGAAGTTAACAAAGATCCACTTAGGACTTTAAATAGAGAAGTAATATTTCCTGCCTAACTACTATGTAGCAGACACCAGGAAAAGCTATGGCTTATATTTGAAAAGTAATTCAGTGTCTAGCAGCTGAACACATGACCCTACAGTGATCTCTTCCAGAACTTTGTTGCCTCATACTTGGTCTACTGAGGTGAAAAGTCATACACAACATTTACAACTCCATAATAAACAGGTAACCCTGTGGAAGCTGAAAATAAAATTGAAGTAAGAGATGATGAAGAAAATTTCTGGGAGTTTAGACTGGGGTGGGGGGGAGACCCAAACTAATGTTTTCCTTAATTGAGTATTTCAGTAGTTTTGACTCTCCTTGAAACTTATCATGAGTCTTACTGTTTAACAAATGTCATAAAGAAATGACCAATAGCTTATTCTTCACTCAAATAACTTTTTCTGGGAACAAATTTTCCAGATATTTTAAGTGTTAACCACAGATATACAAATATCTTCTATTTTAATATGTATATCCATTGACTCGGAGTCCAGCAATACCTTGGCAAAGTTATCTTGTAATATTTTTGAAATAAGCATGCTGTCCCCAAAAGATTTAGCTGATGTTTTTCAAAAAGTGGGATGAGTATTCTGAAGACTTTTGTTGTAGCTACCTTCATTCAACCCCCCCCTTACACACACACACACACACACACACACACACACCACAGTAGATTTAGTCCCACTAGGGGCAATACAGTTACTTTTCTCAGCCTTTATTTTCTTACTGTGGACAGCAGCATGGTATTGATGGTATTGAGAGTCTCAGACTGGGGCTGAGATTGTTTTTTTTTTTTTTCCCTCTAACTCTGCCTTAAGCAAATTTCTTTTTTTATCTCTGGATTTTATCTACAAGGAAGAAAATAATAGATCTGACTGGATGACTTCTTTGACCTCTTCTACATAACTGGGAAATAACAACTGTAGCACCTACCATGTAAGAATTTCTAGCTAGATCTGTTGGCCTTCAATATATGATGGAAATTTGTCTTAAGTAAAATGCAAACCTATTTTAAAAGCTTTGATCATTTACTAATGATGGCTGTGGGAGGCAGAATAAGAGGAAAACATTACAGATCCTCGATCTTTTATAGTCACCTGCATCTTTGCTGGTTGATGTCTGCCCATTTCAGGGCTGCTTGTTAATATCATGGCTATCTTCAAGGGTTCCAGGGCTTCTGACACCCAGAAAATAGACTATACATTACATGTGCAGAACATAGGAAATGTGGAGGGAGTAGAACAAAAATTAGGCTAGCAGTTCGTTCTTAACCTGCTATTCCATTGACAAACGTCGTGAAAGACTGTCATTTTATCTGTTTCCTGTTTCATGATCGTGTCATCTTTCAATATTTAGGCTTTCTCAAGTGACTGCTGATTCCTGACTGTCCATTCATATTTAGGAATATTAATAAAAACGGGTTTGGAGCTCTATATGCAAGGGTGTGTGTATGTGTACACGATCAACAATATCGTCCCCCTCCAGTTTAGCAGAGTCACTGAATCTCTGATGAGTAAGAATCATAATGACCAGCACACCTTAAAATATACATTCCTGATTCCAAACTCTCGAGGCCTGGGGCCCAGTAATTGGTAATTTTACAGAGGTTCAGAATTACCTGTTTTGGACAATGGATGTAAACTCATAAAATGTGGAACACCAACTACACCTTA